TACAAACCTCCACACTTTGTCTGGTGGGGTTGTATATTAGTTGTGTCAATGTATGGAAAATATTTCTCATGTTAGAAGTATAACTGCAATCTAGTGAGAATGATTACTAAAGGCCAAAAAAACTCTGTATAAACCAGAAACCTATCCCTCCAAAAAGCATTAACCAAGCATATGCAAGTAACCACGTCTCTCTTCTGGTAGCTGGAAGATGACTCAAATTGTACAGTTTTGCTGCTGAGCTGAGCGGAGGCATATTGGCTGATGGACTGTTACCTGATAGGGCTGATGGGAGACTGTCGTACCTTCTCTTCATGCTCTGGCACTGGTTCCCAATGAAAATCTAGTTTCCAATCAAAAACACCTCGATGCAGGCTCACAGAATGATAGTACTGAAAAGTCTTCCAGTCTATGACATCTATGACAGGGGAGACGACACTGTTTCTGAAAAAAAACAATATCATTGATTTTCAAAGCCAAAGCACAATCTAACTTCACTACTCTGTTAGTAAAGAGTGGTTCTCCTCTTTGACACTGTCAAGCACAAGCACTCCTCTAGATGTTGAGTGCCCCTATTTTCTGATAGAAGCTCAGATGCTCAGTGCATGAAATACAGAGCCTGCAGTGAGGAATCTAAAAATCAATAATTTATTGATAACCTGTACCTTGCATTGTCTTTTAAAACTATTCAGGATTTTGCTGAGTTAACCATCAGAATTCTTACAAAACTATTTCACACAAAGGCCCCAACCTCTGATGTTATAGGCTCTGCATGGATGCAAAGTTTACAGCAAAAGATGATTTTGGCCTCACACATTTTACCATCCTTTGGTTTTGCTGTAGATGTTCCACATACTTCATGAGCTTGTCACTTCAGGCCAATGAAGAGTGCATTTATCCTTATTTTGTTCTGCTGGTTACTTTGCAAAAACATTTATCACCAAGTTCGTAAACCAGTTTCTGTTTGTATTTTATCACAAGCTTAAAATGCTCTTGCAAATGCACTGTCACAGTGCGGAATCTACTTTTAAGAGCCAGAACAGAGCCATTGCATGGTAAGCAGCAATTCTCCAGCTCATTTCTAATTTGAGTTAAACTTGGGTTAGTCTGTGAAGAGGAATTAGACATTCCCACATAGCAAACATGTCATGGTATTTCATAGTGTGCTGGTACATCATCTTGGAATTAACTGATAATTCTCAGAAGAGCTATCAGCATTCCTTGTATCCAGGTCAATATTGGGAAATTTTTGGAGTATAAATGCAATGGTATTAGGGACTGCAGAGAAAAACATGTCGAAGAACAACATTGTCCCTTCTCTGTTACACAAAAAGGATAGCCTCTGGTCTCAGTGTAAGGGCTTGCCTATAGATAGCAGTGCCTCTGGAGAAAAATCAGTAACATTTACTAGGGATTAAAGTACACCAGAAAAAAATCACTCTTGTTCTAGCTAAGAGTATCCATATAGGAAATTATTCTGGAGTAACTACTGTATTGGGTTTGTGTGGTGGGGTTTTGGTAGCAGGCAGGGGGGCTACAAGGGTGGCTCCTGTGAGAAGCTGCTGGAAGCTTCCCCGGCTCCAAGCTGGACCCATCTCTGGCCAAGGCCAAGCCAACCAGTGACGGTGGATCCGCCTCTGTGATAACATATATAGGAGGGGAAAAAAACTGCGGCAAACCTGCAGTGGAGAGAGGAGTGGGATGTGAGAGAGACAATTATGCAGACATGAAAGTCTGTGAAGGAAAGAAGGGGAGGAGGTGCACCGGAGCACAGATTCCCCTGCAGCCCATGGTGAGGAGGCAGCTGTGCCCCTGAAGACAGGGAGGGTAACGGTGGAGCAGAGGCCCTCCCGTAGCCATGTAGGACCCCACACCAGAGCAGGTGGCTGAGCCCAAAGGAGACCGTGACTCCCTGGGAAGGTGGCACTGGAGCAGTCTGTTCCTGAGGGACTGCACCCCGCAGAAGGGACCCATGCTGGAGCAGTTCGTGAAGAACTGCAGCCCCTGGGAAGAACTCACATTGGAGAAGTCCATGGAGGACTCTGCTGTGGGAGGGACCCCACGCTGGAGCAGCGGAAGCGTGTGAGGAGCCCTCCCCCTGAGGAGGAAGAAGCGGCAGAGACAACATGTGATGAACTGACCACAACCCCCATTCCACATCCCCCTGTGCTGCTGGTGAGGAGGAGATAGAGAAAATCAGGAGTAAAATTGAGCCTGGGAAGAAGGGAGGGTTGGGGGGAAGGCTTTTTTAAGATTTGGTTTTGTTTCTCATTATCTTACTTTGATTTTATTGGTAAAAAATTAAATTGTTTTTTTTTCCCCAAGTCAAGTCTGTTTTGCCTGTGACCGTAATTGGTGCGTGATCCCTCCCTTGCCTTGTCTCAGCCCACAAGGTTTTACCTTTTTTTTCTTCCAATTCTCCACCCTATCCCACCTGAGGCAGGGAGAATGAGTGAGTGGCTGCGTGGTGGTCATTGCTGTGTGGGCCTAAACCATGACAAGACCTTTCCCTAGGGGAAAAAAATCCTGTTAAAACTGAGAGAAATTAAATGGTCAAATTTGGGGCAAAAAGTAGGTTCCATCTTCTTTTTTAAAGATTTATATGTTAGCAAGAGATCACTCTTGAGAGATATACGCTTAAAACATAACACTACCAATGGAGAAAGGACATCTCAGAAGTGAGTCCTTTGTACTTTTCCACGGCAGAGACCAGAACCAGCTGAGGAAAATGGTAGCTATGGGTGATGTTAATGTAATCTTAACATATCTTCTCTGCTTTTACAATCACTAGAGTAATGTTTTCTCAGTATCATGGTGGGGGGAAACTCCAAACTTTGTTTTATCACAGCTGCCATTTCCTGTAGAGAATTTTAGAAGCATTATTTTTCCTAATAAGAGCAGACTGCCCTATGATGAGCTAAAGGCAGAAAGATTTAAAATAGAGAAGTGATTATATTTCTCCATTCAGGTGTGAAACCAGCCTTTGTAATATGTAACAACAGGCACTCTTAGAAACAAGCATTGAGTTTATAAATAGATGAGAAAATTTTATGGTCACCTGCAACATTTGTAGGCATATACATTAAGGTAGTGATCTGCTGTCATTCTCCCCCAGGACTGAAGAAGAAATGTAAAGAAATGATACTAAAAATAATAAAGCTGATATCTTTCCCTGATTGTCTTGATGATACCCCTGGGATATAGTTTTGTATCCAGGACAGGAGCCAGCAGCAAACTCAAACTCAAACTCAAGCCAGCAGCAGCCTTTCTACTGAAAGCTGAATTTAACCTTTACTCACTAACAGCATGAAAAGGAAACTAACTGCTTCTAGAAGTTCCTCAAAGGCAGTGTCCTGATGGACTCACACAAGCAGGTGTGTTTTCTTTGATATGCTGAGAAAAATCCATCTAACAAGTTAAATAGATTTGATTTGACTAAACTTCAAAAAATGAAAAGTCACTGTAATTGTAATGTCTACAGCCTGCTGCATTCTCCAGTGTAGGAGTATCTGTAACAACTGTCTGGTTAGGAGTGTATTTGGCGTTGTATACTTCCCACCTCAGTTTGTTGCTACTTGCTGAAATGCATGCTCTCTATTGGTACTTGTTTATCCATTCTCATCCAGACAGAACTGAGGAACTAATGACCCCAGAGTAGTTTATTTTACAATTTCAGAGTCAAGAGGGAAACACCAGGAGAGAGTATTTGAGTGGAAGCCAGAGGAGGCAATATAGACTTGACCATTCAAAAAACCTTGACCATGAAGTCTAGACCACATGTGCATATCCAAGATAATTCAGATAGAGACAATGTGGATACTCAGTTACACTCAAATATATGCTGGACCAGATATATTCTGGATCAAATGATCCAGACATTTCAGACTATCCTACATTTTCACACCATTTCAGCTATTTAAAACCTATCCTTCTTTTTGGATCCACCTTAAATTTGTTGCCACTATAAAACTCCAAACTCCAATGATACTTGTAGCATCAGTGCAAGTGCTCATAAGAGTAAGCACCACAGTAGTAGTTCTGGTCGAATTAATCCTTTCTTTTTAATGCATGCTTTTGCTTTGCTTGTTATTGGGCACTGATTCTTCAATGCCATTCAAGAAAAATACCTGCAGTGATGTAATGGATTCTGATCGTTTGGAGACCAAGCAATTATCCAAACTATCTGCAAATTATAACATGGAAAATTACAGTGTTTAAGACACCTGAAAATAACTCACTGGATAGGTCACATTCTACCCTGGTTAAATTCAACAACAAACCAGAACGAAATAAAATCTAATCTCCTTTCCCACAAAATTATACAGTACAAACTGGTAACTGTCTTTTAGAGCTATTAGTCTAGTAGCTCTTTCAAAATGACAAGATTAACAGTTTTCAACAGTATGTTTGCAAGTGTAATGCTAGATCTTCACCTAGCATAAACTGGTGTAGCTTTGCTGAAATCAACAGAAACACACCTTCTTAGAACTTTAACTATTGGGAGTGTCTTTCTGATCTGAAGTAGAGGAATCCAGTAATTTTATCATGTGTGAAAGATGGTCAATGTTCAATTTTAATCTCAATCGAGCAGCGCTTTACCTATCTTTTGGTGTTTATGCTTTTTTATAAAAGATCTGCTTTCTGCACATTCAGCAATGGTTTGATGATTGTGTGGTTCTAAATGCAAATTTGCAGCAGAAGGTAATTGAAAGTTGGAAGATGTTCTTAGCTTTTTTTTTTTTTTTTTTTTTTTTTAAACTGGCTAACTGGCAGACACTCAGCAGCTTCTCAGTACTTTGAAATGAAACACACACTGGCAAACTACTCCTAATTTTACTCTGTGGAATCCAAGGAAAGGAAAAAACAGGAAATTCAAATACATCTAGCAGCAACGCTTTGAACTGTTTCACTAATCTGTGAATATTTAGAATGCTTGGAACACACATGAACTACAAAAGGTCATAATTCCATAAAAAAGAGCAACCCAAACAAGAACAATTTCCTGGTTTGGGATTTCTCAACCAAATACAATTGTGAATGAAATGTCTTCCCATGACCCTTTACAGTCACCATGGACATTATGTTCTTTTCTATTTTTAGAATAAGTAACATAGGGAGAGGAAGATTTAATTAACACATCTGGTTTGAAATTTTAGATACACTATTTTTTGAAAGTGCTTTTTATTGATTTATACCTTCTTTTGCTGGGAAGGGAACCAATTTTAATCTGTTTAAATCCCCCTTTAAACAAGGAGGAACAAAAAAAACAAACATGAAAATGATATATTTTCCTCAACCAGCTTCAGAGTGGATCATTCCCTGTGCAAATTACATAGCTAGGAAATCCAGGCAGTCCAAGTTCTCTGGCTCTGCACATAGTCAAAACATCAGTAAGTAACTGAGAACCCAAGCTGACTCCTCAGCACGCTGCATTTTCACTGTAAGCAGCTTGCTCACTGTCTGAAATCTTCAGGGAAATAGTAATGCAAAACATTTGAAATTAGATAGGGTTAATAAAAAGATAAAATGCAGTGATCGGGAATGGTAAAGCTATGGTATAAAGGATTACTTAAACACCACCTTACAGACCAACTCCAGACTAACTTAGGGCACATGAACACTCTCCTGAAATTGATGGACTGCTCATATGCTAAGAACTAAACATATACTTCAGATCTCTGTTAGACAGAGTGCTAAGGGAATCCTTTATTTGAAAAAAAAAATTTTTTTTTAAATCTTTTTTGTTAAAATATTAGAATTTTTGTTAAAATCTGTAGGAGCGAGCAATACCTTTTTACCGGGGACAGTCAGGGCATTGTGCCATGAATCATGCTTAAATCCTCACTGCTCCTTCTTTTGGCAGTAATATTTGCTTTTGGCTTTAGAATCTTGTCTTCAGTTTCTTTACCTCAACTTAAGTAAAATAGGTCACCTACTGATCCTGATCAACTGTGAAAGATTGTAAGAAGATAGCATATCTTCACATACCATGTAGATGCAGAACATTAATTTACTGAATTTGAAATGAGTGTTATTGACAAATGGAGGATATAAAAGGATCAGGCAAAAGCAGAAGTCCCAGGAAGCAGGCTGTTATATGTGAAGTATATGGAAGTTTTTCAAAACAAGGAGAGCAGCATAGAAACGCATGCTCAGATGCTGGGGCTGTGTGGGCTCTGGATGGATAACATCATGCTTCCCTAAGCCTGTGAGAAGGTGGAAAACAGATGGCTTATGTATTTTGTACCTCGAAAAGCTAGAGTATGGGCCACTGAGAAGTGGAGAATCACATGAAAAGAGATAAAGGAGCAGTTCAACTTTAGTGCAAAATATTTTCCTTCTCTCTAGCGTTTTACCATAAAACTGGAACCACACATGAATTTTTGAGACAGAAGAACTCTATTTCTGTTCCTTTATCTACAAGCAGAGGCTCCCATTCACTCTGAATGCGAGCAAACAGCAGGTGAGATACCTTTCTACTGCTATGTTCATTTCTTATTCTGTTTAACAGCATTTTCATTAAAGATTAGTGACCTAGAATCACAGTGCCAAGTAGAGGCACTTTGAATTCTAGAAACTAGATAGGCTTCTTTTAATAATCTCACACCTTCTGTTTCCTAATATAATATTTGAGCTGTGGTATAGGCAGTGCACCAGCACAAAGGGAAATAGCCCTTGCAATGAGGAGGAGGGGAAAGGTCCTAAAGGCAAGCTACCCCTTTGCAAGCCACCCCTCTGCCACGGTTATGGTGCCCTTGCCTTTTTCAGAGGTGGAATTCCTTGTCAAGGATATAATCAAGGCTCATTTTACTTTCATGCAGTATTCTCAGGAACCACACCTTGGATTTTTTTTTTTCAAATCACCCTGCTTCTGCATGATGGCCACTGTTTTTAGGTTAAAGGAACAATCTTTTCAAGGCTTCATAGCACAGTTCATTATATGGCCCCTCTGCCTGTCACTGCCTTTGGACCAAATACAAAATAGCAGCTGTCTCCTGCAGTCTCCTGGAAAAGGCAAACCCCTCAAAAGATGACTGTAATAATTGCATAGCTGTATTACTATGCACCATGCACTCACCTGGAATTATCCTGGAACACAAAGAGTTGTCAAATTAAATGATCTGTGGAGCATCTCATCTAGTTTTCTAATGTTGTCCAGGTGCCTACAGTATTCATCCATAAATAATCAAAATGTCACGGGATGCTTTAAAAACTGCTGAAGCATTCTCTAGACAATATACTAAGCTGACGCATAGCTCTCCAGTCAATTTCTCAGGTATGGTTCACCAAACTAGTCCCAATCAAGGTGACCATAAATGCATGTGTAATGATTTTAGGAAGACTCAATGCTTTTTGGGAAAATTATTTTGATTGGGTCAGTGAATAAAACCATCACATAGGGAGATGAAATGTCATCACCCAGAGCAATCCAGACCTGTAAAATTGGGATAATTCTTCTCATGTTTGTCCTGTCTGTCATTACCACAGGCTACTCAAAACTGAAGGTATCTGCCTTTTTTTGAGTATGTTCAACTCAGCGCGAGGTCTCAGTTTGGGCAAGGATCCCTTGGCATCATTCTAAGACAGTTCACAATAATAGTGGTAGATCTGATCAAGAGTCTAGAAAATTAGGCTGAATCACAATTTTCAGAGTTAAAAACTCCCTTCAGCTCCACTAAGCTCCTGCAAAGGTTTGAGCTTTGGAAAGGCTTCATTTTTCCTTACCAGCAAACAACTCACTGACTCACTGACTCACTCTAAGTGATTAAATGTTTTCCCATCCTGTCTCTCCAGCAAAAGCGCATGAGTTGCAGCTTGACTGGTACATTAAGAAGAGGAATGATGGCTATTTTACTAGTCACTGTAAGCTTTTTTTCTCTGTACTTTCCTCATTTGGATATCTCAGGGAATGCACATGATTCAATTTAACAGCTCCTCAACTGCTAAATGAAGCCAAGTTGACTATGCTAATGCCTTACATTTCCATAGTGATCTCCATGCAAGCATTACAAGCAATTTGGGAAAAATAATGAATTAACTTCCTTATCGGGTCAGTGTTATTATCACCATTCTTCAGCTGAGGAAAGGACAGCGAGCAAAAGTGATTGCCAGATGCCTTAGAGCATGTCTTCCCTGTGCACTGGAGAATGGCACAGGTTCTCCACACTAGCAGTGACAAAGCTTCCAGGGTCAGCCACAGCGGCTGATACAGCATAAAGGGATGGTTTAGACCATACTATTATACAAACATCCTTCTACCTTTGCTCCATGCATCCAATTAGCCAGTAGCTAACTCAGTGTTAAATTCTGCTCTCCTGGAGGAATGAATGAGCATATGAGCCCTATAGGGGAAAGAACCCCTTTCTCACCCCCTGGTGACAGTGCTACATAACTCTCAGAGCTACAGTAGGCTTGGTGGCTTTTGCATTCTCTTAGCAGGGATAATTTTTGACAGTGAGTCACTATGATTGTGGTGGGGTCCTAACTTCTCTCTTGCTATTGTAATTCCCCCTTCACTACAGCTCTCCTCTGAAACTTTTTGTAACTCTTTTAATTTCAGCAATACAACCTTGAATAAGGACTGGCTAACTGATACAACAGGAGTTTTGCATGACAGACTATAGCTCAAGGCAGAAGAGTAATGAAGTATATTCATAATAAACCACCTAATAAGTCAGCAGACAAAAAAATAATCTGCTTTTCCAAGGAGGATCTTTTAGAAAAGAATAGTGCTGACATCCTAGGGCAGCATTACTCTTGCTTGCAGTATTTTTAATGTTTTCATTCAAATGATGTAGTAATTTCTAAAAACTCAAATTAATTCTCTTATAAGCAAACATAATCAGACATAAAAGCAGCTTGTTCCAATGCCTGGGAACAGCCTTCAGTACAACTATTTAACAGTCTGGTAAGAGTTTTAAAGATGTATTTTTTTCTTTTACCCCCTCAAGCAATTATTCATTTTTTCCCCAAGTGGCTGGTGGGTAATGATAGAGAAGTTAATGTATAAATTTTTCTTTCAGAAAAGTCCCTTTAATAAAGGACTTACTGCCATGTAATTCTTGAAACATTTTCAGCGATTTAACTCTTTGAAGGACTTGGCGACTGCATAGATGAGCTCAGCTGTACATTAAAGAGCAGGTCCAAGCACCAACCTAAACATGAAAGACTCAGAAAATACAAATCTGTATCTTCCTCTGTCAATTTGGTGTCAGTGAAAGTGCCTGTGATTAGCTAGAACAGGAAGTCTATTTTTTTCTGTGGAACACAAGACAGTATAGGTGACATTGGTACGTAGCCAAACTGGCTCAGGAGGACAAAGCATTTTATCCTTGGCTTCATGACCGAGACAGCTAAAAAGTCAAAATAATGGAGTCTTGCAGTAGTTTCTCTGGTGGATGTTGGCCAATTTCCAAACAGCTTGAGACTGCAACCTTTTTAATTTAGACCACCAGGAAGCCTTCTTACAGCTCTGACCAGATACAAACTCTGACAGTCCAATGATACTGCGTGTAAAGTGAGAGTTATCAGCTGTGTGACCTATCCTGCTTCTCATGTATCAGTGGCGCACGTGATGATAAAGCAGAAAATAAAAGCAATGTGACCAGAAGGAAGAAGGTAACAGAGATAATAAAAACACAAAACAAAACAAATCTTTACAAGTGCATCTCTTTCAGCAGAAATTAGCATATGTATAGTGCTCAGAGGTCACGGGGATATTTACCGGTTGCTGGACAGCCTGGCTAGGAGGGGTTCCAGCCAGCCCTTCTGACACTCGCAGTGTGAATCCATGAAAATGAGAACATCCCCGGTTGCCCGTGCAGCTCCTAGCATCCGACCTCGGATGACTCCCAGCCTCTTGTTGCTCCGGATGAGTTTCACACCGTCCAGTTTAGAGATGTATTCACTCAGAGCTGACTTCAGGGACCCTGTCAGAAACAGAACAGCCACTGAAATGTTTTAGCTTTGATTCAAGTTGTTACAGAAAAGCAATGGGTAGTAGGGGATACTGCTTCTTGCTGGTAACATGTTTTGGGGGCATTTGTTTTACATGGCTAGGTAGGCTGTGTTCCAAATATTCCCACAGCAGCATAATGTCAAAAGGAAGTAGAGACTAATGGAAACAGAAATTCACTAGGTGTGAAGCTATTCCTGTGGAAAACTTAATAGCCTCCTCTCCTGTTTTCTGCAAAAGGTAGATGCTCTGATCATCCCATGAAAGGCGCAGATCAGAGTGAGATATTACAGGTGTTTGGCTTTCCCAAGCACTTTGGATTACTTTATCAATGTGGAGTTTTCCACTCTATGCTTCAGCCAAAGTCCAAGTCTGGAAATTATTACAGCTGACCTGGTCCAGTGGGAAGGCTAAGATTTGCATACTGTGATCTTATTTTAAAATAAGAAAGTTCAGAGTGACCAGAAATGGTGGGGAAAAAGAAACATATTTCAAAGTTGAAAGGCTAAGCTGAATTCTAGGGATGGAAGAGTGAAACCTGTCAGCCAGCTCACCGCTCTGCTTAGCTCTCTTCTTGAGGGTCCTCTTTGCCTTCTACTCTCCTCACACACTTCTTGGAGCAGGACAATTTCTTTCCTGAAGCTTTGGAAGAAAGAGCTCACATACAGAGAAATGGGGACTACCTTGCTGGCTGAGATCATCGACTAGGATGATATCCTTGAGGGAGGCCTTTGGGGCTGTGTCCATGATGTTGTGCACGGTTCTCAGCAGAGTAGACCAGGCTTCGTCATGGAAACAGATGATGATACTAGCAGTAGGCAGACTGGAGTCATATTCTTGCTGCAGGCACCTGCATGGGAGCAAATGAGGGAGACGCTAGAAACACTGGTACAACTGGCTAATTGTCTTTCAGAGCAAAGTTTTAAACTACACCTAAACCTTCAGAGATGGAAAGCAGTTTAAGTTACAGGCTCACTTCTAACAAAGAAAAGGCAGTATTAAGGGTTCCAAGACTGGAATACAAAGCAAAAATATTGGAATGACATTATAAAAATTAAAATGCAAAAATAGGAATGTTCTCCTTTATGCTGGGATACTTTCTTCTGCTCTGGCTGCCTGAAAATACACAGCTCAACAGAAATGGTCCAGAAGGCAAACAAAGAGAAACTGAAGACAATTAGAGTAAAGCAGAGAGGGGGATAAAGCAGGTCAGTCAGCCTCCACCATTTCCACAATTTTTCAAGTAACATAGAAAAGAGCAAACTAAAATGCAGTACTTTTAAGGCTAACAAGTAAAATAACTCATCTGCACAACAGATAGGTGTATCTGTGGACTGCCTGACCAGTGAATGAAGCCAACATCTCAGTCCTGTACAGGAAAGAAATGGATCTTTCCACAGACAACGAAAACAAATGTAGGCACATTTAAGAAAGCAAATGTATCTTCCCTATAAAGTTTGTACAGGTTGCTTTTTAAAATTAAAACAAATCACTGATGAATGAGGCTTCCACCTGGGTAGATTATCTTTACACTATTTTCCGCTATTTACTTTACAACTCCTGGTACTGATCTTCTGCAAGACACCTGGCTGCATGGGTCACTGTAGGGCCTTTCTAAATATGCTCCAGAGTGCCAGCTGGGGCCCATGGCTTCTCAGTTTCCCATGGGGCCAAGATTTCACCCATTACATTGAAAAAACTTCCATCAAAATTACTGTGAATTAGATGACAACTTGCAACTCAAGCATTTAAGAGTGAAAAACACTTCCTATTCATCCTCACAGAAAGTGTTTATGAAAACTATAAGACCTTGTCAAACAATAGCTATTTCATAAATGCAGGTAAAGAATCTACAAATTGCATTCACAACAAAAAGTGTTTTCTGATGTACCATTCTCAGTTCAGAGACACACTATACTACCATGAGGATGCACATTTTCCAGAAAAGGCCTTCAGATGCTCATTGTACAGATGCAAAGACTGTGCCTATATATCTGCTTTGCTTACATTAGAAAACACATTTTAAAATTTTTTCACTTGCTGAGGAGCATCATTCAGTTTCCTAACTCATTTAATCTCTAGCAGCAAGAACTTCTTCGAGGAATTACAGAATTGGCTGAATGTGGCCCATGGTTATTTCATCATTTTGGTATTGCCAAGCAAACCATCATACAGATTTTATAGTGGTTGTTAAACAACTGGCTACTCAGCAGAAGCTCATGTAAGGGATATAATTTTAATATTGCTATGTTTATTACCATTTTACTTAGTGCTTCTATTCATGGACTGAGGCCTTATGATGCTAGACACTATCCAGACACAAAGTTGCTTATCATTTAAGACAATCCATAGTCTGAGCGATTTAATAACAAATACAAATAAATACATACTGTAGATACATTTCTGGGAATATAAATTTGAAAATAGCACAACTATAATATTTTATTAGAGTTAATAATATTTCACATTAATATCTTTTTTTATTTGGAGGCAAATTTTCTTCATTATTTTTACATTGCAATGAATCTATGCTGTTCTTGGTTTACTAATTTTCTATAATCAACAATGCTGTTATTTAACAATTTCATATGTGATAATTGTAGCAGGATGGAGAAAAGGACACTCTCACAGCTTGGCAGCATTTGTATTTTCAGGCAGAAGAATCTAGAGGTGATTAAGAGAAGTGAAGATCTGATGCAGTGCTTTTAGTACCAAGCAGCTTCCGACCAGGAACATTCAGTGCAGCTATAAGCACCTACATTTTGCACCATAATACTACAATGCCTTGTTGCTGGTACCGTGGTTCTAGCAAGAAAACAAGGCTGTTGTGGAATCTTAATTGGAAAAGAATTGAAAATAACTGTGCTTGAATACATAACCTAGGTGGCGAGTGTTTAGTTGCCATGGAGATTGGCAAAGACTTGCAATATAGATATCTACCCTTCAGAAAAATGTGAAAGGGTACAGAAATAACTTCCCTGTAATTTGGAGCAGTTTCATAGACTGTCCATCATAAATTGACATTTCAAAAAGTCAGGCCAATGACAGATATGAGACATAGTGATTTAATCCAATTTGTGAAAAATAAGGAACCGTCACAAGCAGCAATGAACAGGAGAGCAACTCTGACATAGCAAAGGCACTGCTGACAGGGACTTCCACCCACCTTCAGGAAAATGTCTTGTTGAGATTCAGCTCCCAACAGCACTCAAGTGGAAGCTATGCTTCTGTAATGAAACTTATAACCTTTTCAGACAGCTTGTGAGTTTCTGTTTGCCTGGGTACGTTTAGCACTCAAGCCCAAGAGAGGAAACCAGACCTTTCTGAGGCAGAACCCCATCATAAAGTCACAAAGGCAGGCTCGATTTGGGTCCACTGTCCCGGAAGGGTGTCAATGGCAGCTGGGTCAACTGATAGCAGCAAAAAGCCCTCTGAGGGATGAAAGTACCTCAGAGGATGAGTCTTGATGTGGAAGAACTTTCCAGTACAACTAAACAAGTTATTAGGCCTTTTCACCCAGAGACCCTAACTGTTTCAAAACTGGTACTCAAAGTAAATGGGGCAAAACAAGGTACCTGATTCATTCATCGGAGTATGTTTTACTGTGGGATCAGTAGGAGTGCTGGAAGAGACACAGCTTTACCCATTTACTTTCTGAAAATTAGCATAAAACAGTCAGCTGGAAAGGCATGTAAAGAGATGTGAGTTATGTTAGAAGCTGGGGTCTGGTGAGAGAGGTCTAAAGTATTGCTTTCCACGTAAGGAAGTTGGATCCTGGGCTGTCTGCGTTTATTTCTGGCAGAGCCCTGTACTCTTCACATAAGAAGAAACTGTAGTTATGCTCCAATGCAAAGCACAACAGATCTTTTTATGTGAATTTCTAAGGAACAGCAGCTAAGTATATCTTACGGTGTTTACCAAACATCTGGCTTAAGAGTAAAACTGAAGGATGTAAGCTTGAAGTTTGGCCACCCTTATTTTACAGTATCTGGAATTGCTTCACAATTAGTAGGCATAGCTTCTGGTACCAAGAATTTGACATCTAATTTCAAGCAAAATGAGGGAGACTGAGAACATGGAGCTAACTCACTGAAATGTCTCTAACTGATTGGGTTCTCTCTAAGTAATAACAGACATGATTAGGAACAACATGATTCAAACAGAACAGAGGAACAGACAATCTGATTCATAACTGACTTGCTCTTATTTTACACTGGTATAAAACTGGACTGATATTGTTGTGAGCTAGGCCCCCAGAGTAAATTACACCTAAAAAATACTGCTGTGGTTTGTGTGTTGTGCCATAAAGGCCAGGACTGGCTTAGAGGTAGACCTCTGCTGCAGGTTTATGATCTGGATTTAGAGCTGAACAACTGCGACGCCTCAGATGTTCAGATCTGCGGTTTCAATCTGGGGTCTACAAGCTGTGGTGTTGATAGCTTTTTTGGCTGCAACTAGTCAGACAGGAAAACCCATCCAAGAGCTCTGAAACCATGGCTTAAATCTTACCAAGATTAGTATTAACTAAATCTGTCTCTTGCTGGTCGGCCCTTCAGCTGTCAAAGTAGAACTGTTTTTTGTCTGACATCACAGGCAGTAAACCAGTGTCATCATTCCTCCTTTGAATGTCACATAGTTCAAAAGAGCTGCCAGTGGAGCACGGTGAAAAATAACTGAAATAATATTAGCTTTTCATGGAATTACCCAAATTAACACTGAACCTAGTCAGCAAGTGCAGAAAACACTCAGTTTCATTTCTCTTTCCTTAAGACTCTCCCCTTAAATTAGAGCCATGAGCTATCTTAAAACATGTGAAGATGACCACATGAAAAATTATTATATATATTCTGTGTCTTGCTTAAAATGTTTTCTGGTGCATCTTTCCACCGTGTCCTGGGGGAAAGCTACAATAGCTTTCATTACAGGGGGCAAGAAAGAGAAGATACCCACCCACACCCCTTTCCCTCTCCCCTGGGCAAGGGAGCACGGATCCACCTCAGCCCCTTTTCAGACGTGTAACAACGTAACAACCTGCCCCTCCGGGGCTGCCGGAGTAACCGCATCTCAAATCTCCAGGCTTCCCAGGCAACATGTGGGGCTTCAAACATAACATGGGGCTTCAAACGTAACGCTTGACGTGGCCTTACAGCCTGGCTGCTACGGTGGCGTTGGGAGATGTGACCAGACACACTGATCTCCACCTTCCTTCCTCCCAGGAGTTTCCTTCCAGCGTCTGCCGGGGCACTTGTTCTGAAAAGAGCTGAAAGCCCCAACTGCTCACTCCTTCATCGCCCTGTAAGCCCAGAGACCCCCACAGCCCTAGCACAGGCCCCCCATGAGGTGACCGCTGAGGCCTCCGAGGGACTCGTAGAGGCGGGAAGCGGAAGGGTGGCCGCTCGCTCCCCGCTGTCCCGACCCCTCC